ACAGATGCCTGGACTGCTATAGGTGCCGGAGGTGTTGGCTGATAAGATGGCAAAAGTGCATCTAATTCATCATTTAGGGAGGTTGATTCAATCAAGAAGTCTGCCAAAGCTTGAGCTTTAATTATCATCTTGGGTTTGAATTGAACATCATGCTTGCTAAGTTCGACTGCCCATGTAACCATCCTTTCTGAAGTTGTAGGGCTACGTAGCGCTTTCTTTAAAGGTAGGCTTGTCTGCACAATAATAGCATGAGCTTGAAAGTATGGGCGAAGTATCCTTGCAATGATGATAAGGGCAAATGCAACCTTCTCTATGAGGGGGTAATTAAACTCGCCCGCCTTGAGGATCCGACTCACATAATAGACATGCTTCTGAATATTCTCCTCCTCCCGAACCAGAACAGAGCTAACAGCTTCAGGGGAGACGGTCATGTATAGATACAATGTCTCTCCACTCATGGGCTGGCTCAGTAGTGGTTTAGTACTCAGATAGGCTTTGAGATCCTAAAACGTGACAATACACTTTGCCGTCCAGGTCGTACTCTCCTTTAGGTTCTTACTTCCCCTTAGAATTTTAAAAAAAGGGAGGCTCCTCTAGGCAGATTTAGAGAGGAGTCGACCTAGAGCCGCAATCTTTCCATTCAACTTTTGAACGCCTTTTAGTGTGCACGGTTCTAGCAGTCATTCAATGGTGACTATCTTCTTAGGGTTGATCTTTATACCCCTCTGGTTATAGCCGGAGAAGACGTCCATGAAGCTGAGCAGCTCATGGCCCACACTCTCGTCGACTAATTGGTCGATTCGAGGCAGAGGGTAGCTATCTTTAAGACAAGCTTTATTGAGGTCGGTGAAATCTACACACATTCACCATTTATCTATAGCTTTCTTCACCAAGACAACATTAGCTAGCCACTCCGGTTATTGGACTTCTCGGATGAAGCCGACACTAAGAAGTCGTCTGACCTCGTTAGCCGCCACCTTTTGGCATTTTGGGCCGAGGTGTTTTTTCTTCTGTCGAACTAGCTTGGCATGTTTGTCAACAGCTAGCTCTTAGCTAATGACTTTAGGGGGAACCCCCGTCATGTCTTTGGGTCCCCAGGCAAAGACATCAGTATTCGTATGTAGGAATTTGACCAAAGTCCCTCGTAAGGGTTCGACTAAGCTTGACCTAATTTTAACCGTCTTCAATCTTTCTCGGTTAATGGGTATCTCCTAAAGCTCCTCCACCGGTGTTTTCCTCTGCTGCTCCATTGTTTTCTCTAGTTAGAGGCAGGCTTTTTCGATGGGTAGGGCGTCCTGCACGCCCTTACCCTTAGCTGAGAGCTGATAGCAGGATCTAGCCTCTTGTTGATTGCTCCTGGCAACACCGGCTCTGTTGGGAGTCGGGAACTTGAGCATTTGGTGATAAGTTGAGGGAATGGCTCCTAACAGGTGGAGGGCGGTTTGACCTGGGCCGACTTAAGATCCATTTATCAGGAATTGGACAGGGACGATAACCTGTCTGGGGTACTCTCCCACCGTTAGTTGGAGAGTGATCATCCCTTCTGGAAGAAGAGAGTGCCCAATGAAGCCGATAAGGGGTCCTCTGTAGGGAAGTAAGCGAGATCTATCAATGCCCATTTTGTTGAAGGCATCGACATACATGATATCTACCTAGCTTCTTATGTCGACCATGATTCGTGTCACCCAGTAGTCGTCGATCCTAGCCGTGATGACAATAGGATCATCATGGGGCATCTCCACACCTCGTAGATCGGCGTTCCTAAAAGATATGGGTTTGTCGGTCTTTATCCTTTTGTCGACTTTGTAGACTCACAACGCCCTCTTGGCATATTTCTTTCGGGCGTTATTAGAAGATCCTCCCATAGTGAGACCACCACTGATGGTATTGATGACCCCTTTGTGGCTAGGTTACAGGGGTCGATTGTCTTGTTGCAGTCGAGGACGAGGTGACCACGAATGGGACCTCATTTCGGCTCGAGGCGGGTCGGATTCCCAACGATCTCGTCGAGTGATAAGATTCTTCAAATACTCCATTTCTATTAAATCCTCAATATCCCTCTTGAGGATGCGACAATCATTAGTGAGATGATCGTGATCCTGATGATATTAACAAAACTACAGGGTATCACGGTTCTTTAGATTCGACTTCATTCTAGGGGCGGGCTCTTTGAGGTGTCCCTCTCTCTGGACTATGGCGAGAGCTTTGATGAGAGAGATGTCGAAGATGGTGAGGTTTGCTTTTGTCTCATGACCCCTCTGCCGGTCCCTCCTATTGGTCCAGTTAGAGCGATGGTCGAATCTTGGGGGGTCTTTGGGCCATTCTTGCCTTGCAGGGAGGCCTCTCCCTGATTTTAGAGTTGGCGCTAAGACCGGTGTGGCTGTCAGGGTTGACGAATGACTGGAGCCCTTAGTGATGTTGAAGTTATGGCAGCAGAGGTCTCTAAGCTCCTGTTTAATGCCTTATATGCTCGGGCGTCCTCCATATCAATGTACCTATGTGCCTTAGCCATCAACTGCTCATAGTTGTCAATGGGCTTCTTGGTAAGTGAGTCGGCCAACTCATTGCTCTGCAAGCCCGCAACGAGTGTGGACATGGCGACTGCACTTCCTGGGTCATTGACCTCCAGTCTCTTCACCTAAAATCTTTTGAAATAGGCTCGGAGGCTCTCCTCAGGCCCCTGCCTCATCTGAATCAACACATGGGGGGGCTTCTACTTGGTATCAGCTAGGAAGTGATGGATGAACTTCTGGCTGAGCTGACGAAAGCTGCTGATGGATTTCCTTCCAAGAGCATTCCACCAATACTTAGCACTCCCTGCAAGAGTGATCGGGAAGCATCGACAGAGGATTGCTTCTGAAACTTGGAGCATGCTCATTATATCATAATAGTTTTGAACATGCTTGGAAGGGTCTCCTTCGCCTATATATATATTCCTATGTGAGGCATTTTAAACTTCTCGAACGGGTAATTCATTATGTCGTCAGAGAGGGGGGTGTTCCCTTGATGGCGTCAGCGATCGGCCGGTACACTCGATCATAACCAGAGGCCCTTACGATGGTAGAGGAGGTTGGAGATGTATGGTGGTGATGATGGGCCCTGTAGGTTCCTCTATTGTGGTCTCTAGGATGGCTAGGACCAGAACTCTCACCAGTGCTTTCTTGTTGAGGGAAAAGTTGTCGACGAGGCTCTTCTTGGCAAAGTATGCTACAGGAGAGCGAGCCCGATCGTCTAATGCTACCTGACTGCTTAACAACTATGTGAGGAGTCCGAGGTGGGACCTCTCGCCATGCTCCAGGGTGGAGAAGAGTCTCCGATCTCCGATCTTCAGTCTGCAGGCAGTGAGTCGATGAAACTTGTTGTGGCTGTGGAAGCCGACCAAGCCGATCAAGGACTTTGTTAGTAAAGATGACGAGTTGCTCCTGAAAGGATTGAGCAAGCTTGCGAGTAGTGTTCTCGAGTTGACCTTGAGTAACATAACTGTGGTGTTCTACAGGGCGAGACTGGTCAGACCCTTGCTCGGAACATGACATGTTTTCTTAAAAAAGAAAAGTAGCCTACGGTGGGCGCCAAACTGTTGATGACTAAGATCAAACACTCAATCGTATCCAGAAGAGGATAGGTTCGATTCAGTATTGAAGAGGGGTCGCTTCCTTCCCTGACTTTATGTTTGGTTTCTTGAATTGGGGTGCTGATCAATCTGCACATGTAGAAACTCGTAAGAGGGCGGGGATTAGTTCCCCCATTGTACCGCCGACGATCAAGTTAGCTGATGAACTTGAGTGGGGAAAGTAAGAACCGTGTGTTCTTGTATGCAGTAATATGTTCCAAAGTCAGATTTATGTTTTTTCCAGTCCCCTTTCCGAGTTCGAACGATACCTGTATTTATATCCGAAGCACGAAGGGTAAATTGGTCACTTCGGCCGAGCATAGTGAGGCGATGGCGAAGTGCGGGTTGGAAGCTGAGTCAGCTTTTGCTTTACAGGTGCCGGCTGGCGACTAGAGGGTATATCACTTCGACATTAAATGAGAAGTGATCAATGGCGGGATAGTGGCCCACGTGGTTCGATGAAAGGCGATGGCGAAGTGCGGGTTGGAAGCTGAGTCAGCTTTTGCTTTACAGGTGCCGGCTGGCGACTAGAGGGTATATCACTTCGACATTAAATGAGAAGTGATCAATGGCGGGACAGTGACCCACGTGGTTCGATGAATCATGAAGACTATCGGGGCTAGAGAAATAATGAGCCTGTCATGGCGATGCAGACAGGTAGCCAGTGAGGATAGCTTCGTCGAGAAGTAACGCCGTTTCGAGACGGTTTCAAGAGGTATTCTGAACGAGTAGTCGAGTTGACTCTTGGCGAGCCGTCCAGGACGAGAGGATCAACTAACATCGCCTTTCGTGTCGGCATGGAAGAATGTCGACTTGACGAATTGACCGAGTCAGACTCTGGGGATTTGGGCCATCCAGTTGAGCGGGCAAGACGTATAAGGATACATCTGTTTGTTTGCTAATACGCCGTATGTCCATGGGCAAGAATACTATAACAATAACCTAACGTTTATAAGCTTTTTAAATTTGATACCTTAAAATTTTATGACACTTTGTTAAAAAAACTTTACACCTTTTAACTGCGACATCTCAAACATTTATTTTTGACACTTTGTTACCCCAAATTTTAAGGTATCAAAGTTAAAAATGTGTTAACTTTGAAGTGTCAAATTTAAAAAGTGTGGAACTTCGGGGTATGGAAGTTAAAATTGCGTAAGCTTTGAGACGTCTAAGTGTAAAAAAATTTGGGTTATCAAAGTTGAAAAATGTGCAAATTTTAGGTATCAAGTGTCAAAAAACTCTGGGTATCAAAGTTTAAAAGGTGTAAATTGTAAAGTATTAAATTGCAAATAACCCTTAAAAAAAACGCCTAGCTAGGTTATTTTCGTCATTGAGAGACCAAGTTGTAGTAACCCTAGGTTTTGATGGACTAAATGAGTACTTTCGTAGATTTGACGGATAATACGGAATCGTTGAAGATTAGAGGGACTAAGATAAAAATAACCTTCTTTTTTTTGATATTTTAACTTTAATTTTACTAATTAAATCTCAATTTCCTCTTCCTCGTCTTTCTTATATGAATAATTTTTAGCGGGAGCTCGATCTAAGGATTCTCCAGTTGGCCATGGTTGAAGAAAGCAATAGCAGTTGCAGTTCCATGGCGTCGTCAGCTATCGACCCAGCTCCCAAGTCCGCTTCCTCCTACTTAGATCCTCACTACTGGTATCTTTGCTTTCTTTCAAAAGACAACAAAAACCCTAAACTTATTTTCCTTAAAAAAACCCAAACTTTTCCCCTCCTACTTTAATTTTTTTTTTTTTACTAAAAATGGAATGACAGGGACGAGCGATTCGCAGTGGAAGATCATTACGAATGGTTGAAAGATTACTCCCATTTCCAACACCTCATCCGCCGCCACATCAACCCCTCTCATTCTGTAAGGTTTTCTCCTCTCATCTCATTTACTAATTAAGGGTAAATTACAGAAAACCCCCTTGAGGGTTGCGTGATTGACAAAACACCCCTCTTAAGGTTTCAAAACTGAGAACTTCGCCCCCTCAGTTCCAATCTCTACAAACTTAACTTGAACGGGAAAACTAACATGACAATTGTATGAGCTCTTGGATAACCATATGCATTATTGTTGAATTAGAAGTCAATTTTTACATCCAAATGATGATGGTTTAATTGTCACTTATAAAAGATCAGAGATTTTTTTATCAGTCGGGTAGAGGGCTTTTTTTTTTGGGTAATGTAGCTACTAATTGAAGGTGAAACCTATTGTTTCTCAATAATCATCATTGATCTAATAATAGGTTCTGGAATTGGGTTGTGGGAATTCAAGGCTGTGTGAAGATCTGCTGAGCGATGGAATCACCCAGCTCACTTGCATCGACCTCTCTTCTGTCGCTGTTCACAGGATGCAAAATCGATTATCCGATAAAGGCATCAAAGGTCTCACCTGTTTTCTCTTTCTAGTTTTCCCTCCTTTTTTGAGTTAATTTACGTCGTAGTTTGATTTTTTGGGTGTAAAGTTCACTAAATATCATGAACCTTTTTTTCTTCTGTCGCTGTTCACAGGATGCAAAATCGATTATCCGATAAAGGCATCAAAGGTCTCACCTGTTTTCTCTTTCTAGTTTTCCCTCCTTTTTTGAGTTAATTTACGTCGTAGTTTGATTTTTTGGGTGTAAAGTTCACTAAATATCATGAACCTTTTTTTCGTGGTTCGATGAATCATGAAGACTATCGGGGCTAGAGAAATAATGAGCCTGTCATGGCGATGCAGACAGGTAGCCAGTGAGGATAGCTTCGTCGAGAAGTAACGCCGTTTCGAGACGGTTTCAAGAGGTATTCTGAACGAGTAGTCGAGTTGACTCTTGGCGAGCCGTCCAGGACGAGAGGATCAACTAACATCGCCTTTCGTGTCGGCATGGAAGAATGTCGACTTGACGAATTGACCGAGTCAGACTCTGGGGATTTGGGCCATCCAGTTGAGCGGGCAAGACGTATAAGGATACATCTGTTTGTTTGCTAATACGCCGTATGTCCATGGGCAAGAATACTATAACAATAACCTAACGTTTATAAGCTTTTTAAATTTGATACCTTAAAATTTTATGACACTTTGTTAAAAAAACTTTACACCTTTTAACTGCGACATCTCAAACATTTATTTTTGACACTTTGTTACCCCAAATTTTAAGGTATCAAAGTTAAAAATGTGTTAACTTTGAAGTGTCAAATTTAAAAAGTGTGGAACTTCGGGGTATGGAAGTTAAAATTGCGTAAGCTTTGAGACGTCTAAGTGTAAAAAAATTTGGGTTATCAAAGTTGAAAAATGTGCAAATTTTAGGTATCAAGTGTCAAAAAACTCTGGGTATCAAAGTTTAAAAGGTGTAAATTGTAAAGTATTAAATTGCAAATAACCCTTAAAAAAAACGCCTAGCTAGGTTATTTTCGTCATTGAGAGACCAAGTTGTAGTAACCCTAGGTTTTGATGGACTAAATGAGTACTTTCGTAGATTTGACGGATAATACGGAATCGTTGAAGATTAGAGGGACTAAGATAAAAATAACCTTCTTTTTTTTGATATTTTAACTTTAATTTTACTAATTAAATCTCAATTTCCTCTTCCTCGTCTTTCTTATATGAATAATTTTTAGCGGGAGCTCGATCTAAGGATTCTCCAGTTGGCCATGGTTGAAGAAAGCAATAGCAGTTGCAGTTCCATGGCGTCGTCAGCTATCGACCCAGCTCCCAAGTCCGCTTCCTCCTACTTAGATCCTCACTACTGGTATCTTTGCTTTCTTTCAAAAGACAACAAAAACCCTAAACTTATTTTCCTTAAAAAAACCCAAACTTTTCCCCTCCTACTTTAATTTTTTTTTTTTTACTAAAAATGGAATGACAGGGACGAGCGATTCGCAGTGGAAGATCATTACGAATGGTTGAAAGATTACTCCCATTTCCAACACCTCATCCGCCGCCACATCAACCCCTCTCATTCTGTAAGGTTTTCTCCTCTCATCTCATTTACTAATTAAGGGTAAATTACAGAAAACCCCCTTGAGGGTTGCGTGATTGACAAAACACCCCTCTTAAGGTTTCAAAACTGAGAACTTCGCCCCCTCAGTTCCAATCTCTACAAACTTAACTTGAACGGGAAAACTAACATGACAATTGTATGAGCTCTTGGATAACCATATGCATTATTGTTGAATTAGAAGTCAATTTTTACATCCAAATGATGATGGTTTAATTGTCACTTATAAAAGATCAGAGATTTTTTTATCAGTCGGGTAGAGGGCTTTTTTTTTTGGGTAATGTAGCTACTAATTGAAGGTGAAACCTATTGTTTCTCAATAATCATCATTGATCTAATAATAGGTTCTGGAATTGGGTTGTGGGAATTCAAGGCTGTGTGAAGATCTGCTGAGCGATGGAATCACCCAGCTCACTTGCATCGACCTCTCTTCTGTCGCTGTTCACAGGATGCAAAATCGATTATCCGATAAAGGCATCAAAGGTCTCACCTGTTTTCTCTTTCTAGTTTTCCCTCCTTTTTTGAGTTAATTTACATCGTAGTTTGATTTTTTTGGGTGTAAAGTTCACTAATTCATGGAACTTTTTGTTTGTATTATTTGGGTTTTTTTTGGGGGGTGCAGGGGGGTCGGGATGGGTTGGCTGTTGCATAACTAACAATAATTTTTCCTTGTTTTATGGGGGGGGGGGGGTGTGGGGGTGTGTTTGCATAATAACTAGCAATAATCTTTTCATTGTTAGAAAAAAATAATCATGAATTTGAAGACTGCAAAAAATTACCATGGACTATTGAAAATTTGTGCTAATCATGTTAATGGTTTGAATAAAAGGTCTAAACTATGCTTGACAACAGGAGAGGGAAAACATGTAACATGCGAAGCACATGATAACTTACTAACCAATGTGTAGTTTAGTGAAAATGTTATGGTAGTTTTCTCTAATAAAAAAGGGTTATTTCAATATTTGTCCCTCAAATCTTTAATATTTTAATATTGGTCTCCCAAAATATTGATATTTGAATTTAGTCCCTTTGTTATGTAATCCATCGGAATCACTCAACCATGGTTGGATTATTATTAACCATAGATGGGTAATTACCAATATCATCCCCTCTTTCTCCTTTCTTCTTCAACATCCCAACCTCCTTTGCCATCCTGTCCTGCTCGTCCGGCTACCTCCTCATCTGAGACCTCACCTCCTGAACATGACTGATATTGATATATTACAGATACATCTGTCTCTCGCATTCTTAAAGTTAAAAGAGCATGAACAACTAAAGGCTAAAGCTCAAGTGCTCATCTCACTTCTCCCTGTGGAACTAGTCCAAGCTCAATCTCAAACTTCTCTTCCTCTATATCACCTTGATCCTCCTCTCCTCCCTTCAAGCCACCACAGAGCCCAACCCCAACATCTGCATCATTGCCAATGGCATAATTGGCACCTCTCTTGCTCAATCATCAAACACTTGACCTGCACCCAAAAAAACCATTTTAAAGTGCTGGAGCACCATTATTTCCCTTTAAGCCACTGAAACCTTGAGATGTTCAACGAGATTGAGTGAAGAGACGCAATCCATTGCAATTTGGTAACTTGGATGCTTGTTTTCTGAATTCCCTTAGTGGCATGTATGGGAAATGTTGGTGCAGTGAGGAGATGATCTTAGCTTTTGATGATTGGGGAGAGGAGAGGGGAAGAGGGAGATGATGGTTGAAATGAGTTTGGGTTTGCAATGAAACATGTTTGGGGTTATAAAACTGTATGAGCTAAGTGGGTAATGAGTTTGGTTTCATAATCAGGGGGTATAATGGTCAATCCACTCCAAAAGTTAAAGAAAAGGAATATTCCATCCCAAATCCAACAACCCCAAACTAGGGGAACTAATTTCAACATAGTTATGAGATTTGGGTACTAATTTAAAATTTCAAGGATTTGGGGAACTAATATCATAATATTAAAGATTTGAGGGGACTAATATCGTAAGAGCTTTGCTACAGGGACCCAAAATATAGGACCAATAGAGGGGACAAGTGAGGTGTTCCCCTCCTATTGGATAATGAGTTGGCCATCATTAATGATGACCAACTCATTATCCAATAGGAGGGGGACAACTCACTTGTCCCCTCTATTGGTCCCATATTTTGGGTCCTTGAGGAATTTTTCATATCATAATAACCCTTAAAATAGTTTTTTGGTAGTTTTATGCAAAACCCAGCGAAGTTCTATTTAATTTTGTGAACTTTACCCTTATTTTTATCCCATCTTTTTTGACTTGTAATGCATTTTATGTGTAGATATCAAAGTGCTTCAGGCGGATATGCTAGACCTACCCTTTACAAATGAATGCTTCGATGTTGTCATTGAGAAAGGAACCATGGTAAGACATAAAAACAGCATATAAGTTGGGGGTATTATCTTTTTTCCCCTCTCATTTTCTTACTTGTTATCTTGTTTCCTCACAGGGAATTCACACGGTTATCTTTTTCACTTCTTCAAACAATGTGGATGGTTAGATAACGTGCTCTAAATGAGATTACAACATGTTTACTACATCAGAAACACATTAGCACATTATACAATTGGTCAAAGAATTCAACTGATTTCCCTTTGCTATAGATTCTTATTTACAGTGAGGTTAACTCATATAGCATAACATTCCTTTTCCATACCGGTTATTCTGGGTTTGAATTTCTCCATCTATAATAAGCAAACAAATTTTCAGATCAAACATTGGATCACATTGTCATATACTTGTTATGCAATATTTGACTTCAAGGTGCATGGAGACTACTGAAAGTGGCGGAGGTTCGTCATGATTGATTTGTCCACTAGGACAAATTAGCGATGTTCTCTCTTTGCAAGGGCTTGTTTCTCCTTTCAAGCTTGTCTTTCCTCAAAAACGTAATCCCTTACTTGAGATATGAGACATGTTCTTCTCTTCTATTTACTACCATGCTTTGCTTAGTGTGTTTCTTTGAGTGAATTGTGTCAGCATGGTTTAGTTCTTTGATATATTAAAGCTTAACTTTGCCTGAATGATACTCCAAATCTTTTAAACTGCAGTTAATCTCATTAATTCAACAGAGGGGGATAAAATTACACAAGTACTTTATATTTTTTGCAATTTTGGTTTCTTCCCAATTTTTCTGAATTCTCAAAGTACGATTACTAAATTAGGTTAAAATTGGGGATAAACATTTAGGCTTTCGCAGAAGTATGATCAATTTATTAATTGTCCACTTTCTTAGTTATGTTTAATACTTGGTGATTTGGTTATGTATTTGAAGAGAACATTATATTCAGTGGAAATTTGAGAAAAACAACTCACAATCATGATAACAGCATGTACAAAGTGAAGGAGAAAAGGTTGGGGCAAATGATGAAATGAGTAGGGTTTTATTGTAACCGGGTCTTTGTTTAAATAGATGGAAAGGAAGGAAGGGATTCTCCCCTTTCAATTTAGGGGTATAAAAGTCCAAAAAAAAAAATCATGTCATAATCAAATTATGCCTTTTAAACAGAAACTTTGATGGCCATGTAACAAAAGGTACAAAAGTGTAAAGGTGAAACTCTAGGGTTATCATTTGGGCAAAATTAAACGTCGTGGTATCAAAGTTAAAAATGGATGAAACTTCCTAGTGTTAAAGTGCAATAACGCTTGTTCTTTCCTTCTTTATGCAGCTTATTTCCAGAGTATAAGTTCCACACATTTAGTTTCTCGCATTTTTTTGACAAGAAATGTTAGATTTTTCATTACCGAAGCAAACAGTGGTTGCACACTCCATATTTGCAAATAAATGATAGGCAGTATCCTATCATTTGAACAAACCAAAATGCACACTATGTTATACAACTCTTCTCTACAGACTCATCAACACAAATGGCCTATGGCTCTATACTTAGCCTCTGAAATTAATACAAAAAAACTGCTAAATACAGACCCTATGATATCTGACCCCAAGAAAAATCTCTTTGTTTTTGACTAAACTCCGGCTGAATTCTGTGCCTTGCACACCATGCTCTGTTGGAGGGATTTCACGCATCCTCACAATCCTACTCAGTTTAATTTTTAAAGAGAATAGGACTTGCTTCCAGTTTTTCCCAACATCAGGTTGTATGTTAATGAACACAACCTCATTTCTCATCTGCCACACATAATAAGCGCAAGCAGCAAGTGCTGCTCTCCTGATTTTTCCAGCTCCTTTACCATCTCATCTTCTTAATACTCAAGGCACAAGGATGTTCAAGGCGCAATGAAAGTTTCTCACATTTTACTAACTCCTTTCAACTCACAGTTATTAACGCTAGTATGCAAAGGAGGAACTATTGGACTCTTGTTTATTGGCTGTTTTCTTGTGATATCTTATCTCATGATTTGTCAATTCCAGCTTTTCAACTTACATTGTTAGTAGGGACTGCCATTTTTCTTTGCTCGTGTATATTTCTTTCAGTCTGCAGGAATAGAGCTATGTATTTGCATAATAAAAATTTCCTTGTGTCCAATGTCCTGGCATGTTAGATTTATACCTAACTGGCCTTAGTTAATATCTTGACTGCAATTCAGCACGTAATGGTAGAGGGCTGATGTAAACCAACAATCAATCATTAAAATTCGGTAAGTTTTTGTTAACTCTTCTCTGTCGTGATTTTGTGGAGATGAGGCTGATTCCACATTTGAATCCTGGTGGCCTGTTAAGATGGCAAATATTTATGTGGATTGGAAGATTGATTCAAGAAAATATATGATGAATGTTGGCATCCTATTTTCTTATAACAGTTCTTGCAATTAGATGCCATGCTGATTCTTCTGTACTTGTAGACAACTTATGTAAACAACATGTTCTTTTTTATGAAGGATGTCTTGTTCGTGGATAGTGGTGACCCATGGAAACCTCATCCTGAGACAGTACGCAAGGTGATGAAAATGTTGGAGGGTGTTCACAGAATTTTGAAACCAGACGGCAAATTCATTTCCATATCCTTCGGACAGGTATAAAACTGAAGAACTTTACACACAAAAACAAATACATATGCAAGACACGCCGTGTGCGCATGCCACCCACACCTACGTCCACACCCACACACACACACAAAGTACCCTCGCTCACACCGCATACACAAAATTGAGCTAGGCTATTATTAATAGTATCCATGACGTGAACACGATCGAATCAAATCTTGAATAATTAATTTTCAAATTGGAAATCCATACTTTAGGATGTGATGTACTATTCATCAACAACCTAAGAAAGTAAATTATGAAGGATTGTAGCATGTTCTACCCATGTATCACATGATTTGAAAATCAACGTTTCAGAATTTTTGGATTAAATTTTTATCCCATGATATGTAATTAAAAACGCAACGAAGTTATTGGAATTTTTGTTTCTAGTTAGTCCTTGAAAATTACATCACATGCAATGGTACGGAATTCCAAATTGGAAATTCAAATTATAATTTTAAATGATAGTATCTGCATCTTCAATACTATTAATACCAGCCTAGCTCGACTCTCTCTTCTTTCTCTCATATCTCTCTCACTAAATATGCATGATATGATATACAATGTAATATATATGTATATATGTATGTGTGTGGGTGTATACATACATATATAATGTATTTATAATCTTCATTATAAACCAATTTGTAAGCCTAATTTTTGCTCACAGCCACACTTCAGGCGTCTGCTGTTCGAAGCACCATCTTTTACCTGGTCCATTGAATGGAATACATTTGGAGATGGATTCCATTATTTCTTCTACGCCTTGCAGAAGGTCAGATTCAGAAAAATTAATCCTATATCTTTGATTGCTACTTCTCCTCTTGTTTAAATGTTATATGGGTCTCTCAAGAAGGTCATCACTTATCTTTTGCCGACTCCTTTGGCAGCATTTCCTTAAAAAAATTTCATAATATTAAGATTTATTTCTGGATTAATTTTGTCATCAGGGCAGAAGGTCACTAAAGAGCAACGAATGCTGCAATCATGTTTCTATTAGGCCATCCTTTAATATGCTACATGATGAACTCGAAGATGAAGATTACTTATTCAGGACATGCGTGGATGAATATTGAATTTCACCCAGTTGAAGGATTTCGAAATCACAAATCAAATGAGCGAGTATGCTGAAGAGCTAGGATTATTCGTCTTTGGTCATGCTGGAAAAGTTGAAAGTTGGGGTTGAGAAGGGAAGTGAGGAAAAAAAGAAACAAAAGTTAGGGTGGTCGCGTGTAGTATTTTCATGTCAGCAAAGTAGGCTGCTACATGGAAAATGAATGCTCCTGTCTCAGAATAATCTGCACGCGAGTCTTCTAAATTTTAGTCGGGGGATATTTGTACCGAAACTTTATTTACTTGCTGTTTCACTTTCATCGAAATGGTCCCACATTATTATTGTTGTTGTACGATACAGCAGTAAATTAGGACAGAGGTTCATATATCTGTTTGGCTGTAGTTTTGACTGCATCAAAGATTTTGTCATGATTTGGATAGAATGATCGTCATGGGACTCTGACTTGCCGGAGTATGCTGCTCACGTTAGCTTACTGAATGTTGTTGTCTTCTGCGGGTGTGTTATTAGTCCCAAATTTGTTGCCGTTCTTATCTGCCTAGCTTCTTGTTTCCTCTTTACGTGTTGCGTTTCAGCTTAGCACGTATCTGACCCTTGAGTCTACAGCGTTGAAGTGCATCGCCGACGTTCCTACGTGTAGTTATTCTTTCGAAGTTGGTTGCTGTTCGTCTGAGTCGTTCAGGGCTTTGGCTTTCTTGGGATTCTTATCATGCAGCTCCGATTTAAGAGAGGAAACAGAACAAAGGCAAACGTGTTCACATTTGTCCTTTTGCTTCGATGTTCTCATCGCAACTTCGTTACTACTTGTCTAAAACAAACGCGAAGGAGTAGATAGAAAGCCCAAAGGTCGAAGCCACAACCATCACGTTTCCTGACATTAAACATGACATCAGTGATCAGTTCTGTGTACACATAAACAATTTTTATTCCCCTCTTCATAATTGTACTTCTCCGAGTACCTGCCAAATTTTCGGTTTATTCAAAGATGTGGAGGAAAATATGGGTTAATTTAGCACTTAAGTAATACCCCCACTTTATACTTAACATACGTTCACTTGTTTTTGGCACATCAGTACCTCTTATTATGCAAACATGGCAACATGCCTCTGGATGTTCCCATTTTACACCACATACTAATATATCGTATTAGAGCTTGCTTTTGTCCAACTTTCGTTGAATTTACTACTACCTACTTCAATTATATTTTAAAATAAAATTAGTGTAGGTTTAAAACAAAAATCGAGTAGTTTTCTTAGTAAATTCAACAGCATTAGCATTGACATGTGAATATCATATGAGAAAATCTGAGAGAATATTCTCACGTTTTCCTAATCATACTTCCCTTTAAAGGAGAGAGTTAGTGGAAAATTTTTTCAGTGACTATATTACCCCTACTCTTTTTTAATATTACATTCTAATACTAATTAAACTAAATTAATTAACAATGTCACTTTAAATTTGTATAATTTGGTCTTTAAAACTTCCAACGTTTTTGTAAAATTCTACATCATATTAATTATTAGTAATGTATAATAATATATTAATGGATAATTGCATGTTAATAAAGTATTTATGGAAAGAGTAGAAAACATAAAATTATCCTAAAATTATACCATGACGCTCATATAGGAGACCTACAAAGAGCATTCTTATGTTTAGGTAACATGACAGAAGATACAAACATAAAATTCTAGAAAACATTAGGATATTTAAATGCAGCAAGATACGCTATCTAAAATAAAATAAAAATGTGCAGCAAGATACAAGTGGAGGTATATAAATATAACTTTGGTAAACTATAAGGTATTTAAGTTCAGTTATGTAAAACCCCAAAAATTTGAATATTTTATGATAAATAATAATAAATATGTTATATATTTATAAATAACATATTATGATATTTGAGTATGCTAAGAATTGGTTTGAGATCAATTCAATGTATAAATGTATATATATAAGAGCAAATGCACAACTCATGCTCGATGTATAAATCTGGAAATTTATGATTAGCGGAGAGATTTTGTTTTTTTTTCTCACAGATGTAGTTAGAATTTGGAAAAACTTAAAAGACAAAAGTTATAGGTATCTTCAAGAGATTTCCAACAAGTCTTAGATCACCTCATTCTGAGGTTGGATGCGAAAGTTATGACCAAAATACTGAAGGTTATTTTCTAGTTATTTTTTTCAGTTTCGGGTCTGTTCGGATTTCAGGTTTTATTTCGGGTTTGACCGCTCATATATAACATCTTCTACCCGAAAACACCCCTTTTTCTTCTGTTTTCTAAACCTTAGCAGCCCCCCTCTTCTCTCCCAAACCCTAGATCTTTTCTTGGCGATTTTGGAGGAGTTTCGAAGGATTTTCAGCGGATTTTTGGAGGGATTCAGCGAAGGGGATTGTTCTCCTGCAGATTCAGGACCCTTGTTCCCATCAGAGGCGAGTAACTTCTCGCCCAACTCCACATCCCTTTTGTTTTCATGCAAAATTTGAGTTTTTACTTGGTTTTATGAGCCAAAAAATCGTATTTTTGTAGATACAATAGATCCCTTATGACACATGATATAAAAGATAAATGTTTTCAGTTTGTAAACTCACCGACGAATTTTATGATAGAGATCTAGATCTGAATACGTTTTAAAAGGAGAAAATTTCTGTTCTATTGTTTTAACTATACATAGATCATGTTTAATTATGTTTGGGATCTTGGTAATGATTTCTAAATGTGTAAGCTTCCTTTATTTATCTGTTATATGACAATTTAAATATGCTATGTTGCTGCTTAACTCAAGGGAGAAAAGAAATTTTTAGGTTTAGAAGCTGACAGAAAACCCAGATCCGGGTTCTGTCTGCCTCGCGGTCGACCGCATCGGTCAACCGCTGGGCGCGCAGCAAGGGCAGAGCCCGTCTGCTCTTTGCGCGGTCGATCGGGGCGGTCGACCGCGACATCTTGGCGGTCGACCGCGCCGGTCGACCGTGAATGTATCTGCTGAACAGTGAGGTTCATATCCGTATGCGGTCGACCGGGTCGGTCGACCGCCGCCCAGTTTTGTGCACTGTTAGATTTGCTGTATGTTTCATGTGCTCGGGGGTTTTGCCTCGATTATCTAATACTAGTTTTGGTTTTTGCCATATATCTGAGCATGATAGATGACTTGAGAGTACTAAATTTAGAATCACATGCCGAGAAGCGTGTGAGACTTGTATAAGTATAACTTTTCACATATCTCCTCGATAATTGCTATTTGGTCCAGGTATCGGGCAAAACTACATTATTTCAGTCCTCGTGTTGGACTATAATCCATTAAAGTCCTCGTGTTGGACTATAATCCATTAAAGTCCTCGTGTTGGACTATAATCCATTAAAGTCCTCGTGTTGGACTATAAACTGTATTTTCATATACAACGAGCCCTATCCCTTGGGGTTGGTTGTGATGTTGCTCGCTAGCGCTTTGACGCTCGTTGTCCCTCCCCCTTTCAGGTAACGAGCCAGGAGCCCGGAGAGTCGCAGGTTGAGGGCGACACACTTTAGTGTCCAGTTGCTTATTTTTAGCTATGTTTTATTTGGAGCTCCACTTTAGATTTTTGTTGGTCATTTGAGAACTATGTCATAGATGTTGTAAAGGCGGTGTGCCTTGCTTTCCTTTGTTCAGATTTTATGTATTTGAATATTGTGGGAACTCCAGTCTATTTATTCAGACATTGACTATGTATTTCGATTTGTTGGATGATGAGATATTTATTTGATCATTATCAGTTCATCAGTCCTTTGTGTATTACTTTTTACTTGCTTTGTACCTACACCTGTTGTTGATTCAATTAGAGTGATAGTAATTGTGATGGTGAAACGTGTTATTGCACGGTGTGGTGCATGGCAGGTTTGATATTCCTGGTTTCACCTCGGACTGCAGCCTTGTGTGAACCCAGGGGCGTCATAGTTGGTATCAGAGCTCTAGTTCTAGTATCCTTAGGATCATCCTGTGTCGAGTCGTGGAGCTAGGATAGAGTTTCTTAGGATTCATGTATAGAGTCCGCTAAGGATTTCCTAGTATGAGTGAGGACGGTATATGCGTATATCTCAAAAAATTGAGAATTTTTTTTATGACAACTATTTTATGTTGATTGGAAAGGCTAATTGCGCTGAATTGATCTATGTTTTAATGAATTCGTATTGTGTAACGCTTTATAGATATATAATATATTATATAAATACTATATATATTTATATATATATATGTGCTGTGTGTGTGTGTGTGTGTGTGTGTGTGTTATGTGTGTGTGTGTGTGTGTTGTGTGGTGTGTGTGTGTTCGTGGTATTTTTTCTATTCACTTACTGTTGAAATTAATGCCTCTCCTTTTGATATTATAAATATCAAAACGAGGATGTGGTCGAGGTAAAACTCATACCTGGAGAGCTGGGCATGCAGAGCCGAGCCACAGCAGGCTCCACAGTATTTGATCGACTTCATGGCGCCGTTAGCAGCAAGATCTTACAACAATCGAGGAGCAAGAAGTGTATCCGTTTTCGTCAGCAACACCACTTTCAAGAGATTCATTACCGGTTGTACCCGTCGTGGAAGTAAAGATGAAATACCAATGAGTACACCACCACCACAATCAGTTGTTGATAGAGCCGCAGAGCAGGAGATTTAACTCTGAAAGGATAAGAAAAATATCAGACAGTATGAGCACCAAAATTTCAAGGCACACCAGTTTCAATTGCAACCTATAAGGAAAAGAGTATATGAAAGTTTCTTGAACATCGGCTAGGAACCAAGCAGAAGTCAAATATATATTCAGCATTTAGGGCCATCGCCGGAGGATAGCAACAACATCCAGATTTTTGACGAGACAACAATTATCACCTATTTGGGAGAATTTAGGTCGTTTCTTCATCAAACAATTACCACTAGTCTAAGTGAAGCAGGGAGATATACCCATAGTGAAGGAAGAAATCAAAATCCAGAATAGTGACAATGACAATGGCAAGAGAACCATTTCGAAAATCTAGAGAAACCTAACAACGGGAGAATGATTTTACCCCAGCAACAAGGACAAGATAAGAAAGGAGCACAATGTGATTATTTAGCTCGGATCTAGTTTGATTTAGAAATTCGCTTATCTCTTATCTTTCATACCTTCGTTGATAGGTTTCAGCTTGTAGCACATTCTTTAGATATTCCGTTGTAGGTCTCTACTCCTCTAGGGGGAGTGTCCCTTCTATCTGTAGGAGATGTGTCATCAGACTAGATGAGTCTGAATTAGTCATCGAGTTGATCGTGTTGTTGATATCAAATTTTGACATTCTTTCTTGGTATGGATTAGCTATCATCATACCATGTTAGTATCGACTATTTTACTAAAATAGTCAGCTTGTGAGCATTCGTTGGATTTGTATAGATAGTAGCAACCTTACAGGGTGACCGGAATGTGGAGTTATTTC